TTTATTGCAAAACATCGTTGAAGGTCTATTTCGAATAAAAGTTTTTAAAAAAATGGTTAAATTAAGGCAAAGTAATTCTTCATACTTCAAAATCTATCTATTTTTCAATATTTTCTTGACGGATTAAAATGCTTTTTACAAACTTATCTATAACTTAATGTAGCGCGTTGATTTTATCATAATTTAAACACGTTTTTCTCAAAATCTCGTTTTTTTTTTTTTAAAAATTCACTATTATGGTATTTTAAGGCACTCTGAATCAGTTATTTAGCTTCTTTAAGTGGAAAATTGCCTATAAAAATAAGTCATGCTATGAATACCTATTTAAGATTAAAAAATTTCTTTTGTTCCGAATTTTTTAAAAAAAAAACGTCTATGATTGATTTTACCTTGTTTTTTATTTTTGCCCAATGCTCTTCTTCTGTCTGTCATACAACCATTTTCCTCGAAAAAATTTAAAATTGGAGACGAGAATAATTTGGAAAATAAAAACTATAGCCTCACAAATATTAATTTAACCTATTTCCTTGACGTAATGTTACGCAATATAATATTTTGTGCACGTCTTTTTGGCGTAATATTACGTTTCGGTTTATTCCTTCACTTTCCTCGTGTTTTTTACGTATTATTTTATTTCCTACGCTTTGTCTGCATGCCTACAAATAGTAAATGCATTACTAAAGAAAAATAGACAAGGAAACATCATAGAAACAGATATGGAGCTTAAATACTCAATTCTTATGAGTTTAGCTTAGAAACGATTGTTACATTAAGAATGACGAAATAAAATAATTTTGGTAGTTCTTGAAAAAAGGTGCTCGTTTTTGTAGTTAGATAAGTTGCTGCTGTTTGCAATAATAATATTGCGAAAAAGCATTTTCCTGACTAAGTAATTTGAATTTAGTTTATTGTGGCTTGCATAATTCAAACTGAAATATTAATGAAAAGAAGAATTTAAGTTATCACTACATTTACCTAAGGAACGGGTGAGTTCTAAAGCATTATTTTATAATGGTGGTAGCATTTAATTAGATTCCAAACCGACTTTTAAATTAAAAATACGGCATTAAATGAATTTTAACGTTATCTTTGAAGAACAGTTGCACGGTAGCTGTTAAGTCATTCTTATTGTTTTGTTTATTTTTTTTTTAAATAATGAAGACGACAACAATGGAATTTTTATGGACAAACCGCTGGAAGCAAAACCATGCCAAATTCGCGATTTTTTCCTTGTTGATTCAAAAAAGCATAATTCAAAAGAAAAGGTTTAAAACTGGGATAGTGCTATGCTATCATACACATAATAGCTATGATATATGATAATAGTCTAATAATTAAGCGTGATTAAATATAATCTTTTTAATTTTTATATTAGTAAAGGAGTTGCCAACTGGCACGAAATATAATGCATGCTGCCAGGAAACAGCATGTAAACATGAATTTCTTCTTTTTTTTATTAAAAAACTCCTTATGCGTAATTTTGAAAGAAATAACATTGATAGAGATTTTTATCAAGAATTAATATTTGATTGTTGCCAGTGAAATTTCGTCAAATTTTTCCTCAAAAGTTTAGGAAACACTTGGCTCGAGGGGTGACCTCAAATATACTAATTAATATGTGCGGACGATATTTTAAGTTGCAAAATCAGACACAAAACATACTTTCTCTTAATAAACATACCTTTTTTTCGACGAATTCGGATTTCTGACCCCCAAAATGTAGTGGGTAGCTGCAATCTGAGAAATATGGTTCCCATATTTTGGACGGAAGAGCAATCCGAAGTTTGGACCCCTTACTATTATTTTACTTTTTGCGTATTTCACCACATCTGAGAAAAAGTTTAAGGGATTTAACACACATTTTATACACAATTATGAAATACGTTTATCCAAACGACAATTCCATACAAAAAATAAATTTTAGTATTATTTTTTTTTTATTTAATAACAGTCGAAAAAATTTTGAATTGTAAGTTATACAGCTTTTTACCATTTTTTAAAGTGAATTTACATGGCGAAATACAAAAATTTAGTAAAATTGGTCGAATAGTTTCTGAGAAAAAGAATTTTAAAGAACTCTAATATTTACTGCACATTTCTGTCTCCTATCGAATTTCTTAATTGATTTTTCAAAGTGTCGGTCATTTTTAAGACACTCGGTAGATCTTTTAGTTATAATAATAGAGCCATGTGTGTTTTTCTTCACTATTTTACTTTAAAAGCAAATGTAATGTGTTTTTTATTTAGATAGAAGCAATTTTTGAAAAAGTATTACACTATTTTTGATAGGAAAAAAAGGCAAACTAAAAATATTTTTACAGTTAGGCAATTTCATTGCGTAAAAGAAGAAAAAGAGAAAAGTTTGTAGTTCTGAATTTCCTATAAAGCGTTGCTTTTTTAATAGAAAATAAATCATGCAATGCTTTTTTCCAGAAGAAACAACAACAAAGAAAGCAACCGGGCTTAAACATGCATTTAAACATTCAAACAGTTTAATTTATTTTTAAGAAAGTTTGATTTACGGATGAAATTCTCCATTCAGCCAAAAACATTTAACTTTTTTCCCTCAGATTTTTTCAACTTTAAATAAACTACTTTGTTTGCAACACATGTTCTACGATTGCATTTTCCACATCATTTTTTCAATTCATTTTGAAGGAAATGAAGTCTTAATTTTTTATTCAAAGAAATAGATTTAGATCACCAATTTTAGAAAAACGATTTCTATCGTATATTAAAATAGTTTCAAAGTTTAATTTAGTCGGGCGAAAATGGAATTATTATTAGAATATTGTAAAATTTAATGTGGGGGAAAAATAGTTAAAACGATGGTCTTACTTTCATTTATTTTAACTTAGTAAAAAAACAATTCATTTTAAGTAATCGTTTAATTGCATGCAGTTGCTTTAATTTAGGAAAATGTATTATCCTTTCTCTGAACTAGGTCCAAAACTTGTATGAAAGAATGTCGGTTTTTGGCAGTAGTTAGCTGTTAAAGTTCTTGTTTTCAAAATCAAACAAATCTTGTTAATAACATAACGAAATTTTAAGTGTACAAAAAAAGGTACATATTGAAAAGTTATTTAAAAAAAGAACTAATAAACACAATAAAAATGAATAAAAACAATGAAATTGTCTTCAAATAGTTACTATAGTCAGACTCAGCATATTAACATTTTTTTACTTTATTTTGACATTGTTTTGTATTAACATGATTAGAAAATTTTTAAATGTGCATTTAAGAATGGTCGAAAAAGTTTTGAATCGTTAGGTATGCAATTTTTTGCATCATTTTAGAGAAAGTAATTTTATATAACAAAATACAAAATTGGTCAAATTGTTCCTAAGAAATTGAATTTCAAAAAAGTCAGATTCTAAAAATTCAATTTCTCAGGAACTATTCGACCGATTTTTTGCACTCCTGAATAAACTATGGTGACCAATATTTCTTAGATTGCTGCCACCTACTATGTTTTGAGGGTCAGAAATTTGAATCAGTCGAAAAAAAGCATGTTTCTTCAGAGAAAGTAGGGTTTTGTGTTTGGTTTCGTACTTATAATATCGTCTGTTCTTATTAATTGGCATATTTGAAATCAACCCTTCGAACCATTATGTGTGAGTCCTTGAACGTGTAGATCCGATCATTAGATCAAAAGTTATTCAGGGAAGCCCGTCTTTTTGGCGCACTGTACAATATAGATTCGTTTGTTTGCACACGTCTTAGCATTGAGCAAAGCTGTAAGCTATGAGGTGCTATAATTTTGGAGCAAGAAATTACTCCTCAAGAAAAACCTTATTGCTAAGACGCGTAAGCAGCTGAAGTTAGTTGCTTACTTCAGTACTCCCTCTGTCAACCTGTCCATGAGCACCAAATAAGAGTTTTACACATGACTAAGTAAATATTTTATAACATTATGATTTGAAAACTTAATTCTCTATTTAATCAAAGATGAGTTTTATTGGAAGCTTGTAGCATGGGCTTATAAACTATTTATGTTTGGTTTTCTGCTTTGGGTTAGCACAAATAAGTTAAACATAGGTTGGCTAAATCAGCATTTTGAAAGTATATAAAATTTTGTTGATACTGGTGCTTTAAAAACGTGTTTCAATTAACCTAAACTATGCGTGATTCAATTAAAAAAAGTAAAACTCAGTTATGTACTAAGTGCCAATTCAGAAGGAAGGATTGTAGTAAAGTTTGACTATTATGAGTTGAAGAATAATGTATATTTAATAAACCTTTCTTTTTTCGAGTTCAACTTTTAAACCATTTTTGTATAACATTTAAAAAGTAAAGCCACAGAAAGGGCTAAAAATAAAAAATAAAATATGTACGAGCTGCCTATTTATTTAAGTATTTCAAGGTTAAAAAAGAGAAGAAAAAAATTGTAATGCAGTAATAGAAATGCGTCAAAAAAGGACTATAAAAATATTAATGCTAAGAGAAATTATTTTCGAAAATTACAAGTACTAATTTGTTAAGTAACGACTCTGACAAATTAGGTATGTGAAAGAAAAAACAAAATTGGCTTAGGGTAGGAGTTAAACAGCCTAGGGAACACTTTAATCAGATAATAAAAGCTGGGTGATCTAATGTTGTACTATCTAAACTCATATTTTTCATCATATCAGATATCGTATTTGGCAAATACTCAACTTTGTTGTACGTTTCCTTAAAAATATTATGCGTGGTTTTGCATTTCCCTGTGACTATAGAACTATAACTTCTTTACATACAAATCAAGTTTTTACAAAGTTGTGAAAAGCGGTAAGAATCGTAAAAGTTTCATGCTACTAATTGAGCACTACAAAAAATGGTTGCTATTATCTTTTTAAAAAAACTAATAAACGTTCATAGAGTGTAACTGCTTGCATTTGATGAGTAAACAACAAATTGTGATCTTAAATCATTCCACTTTATGTGCTAGCCACAAGGAAAATAACTCAGTTATGAAACTTATGAGATGATACATTAAATTAAACAAACGAAACAAACATACCTTCTTCTGTTCTAGGGTCACCTAATTCTACATAAAACACAGAATCCCTTTCGTAACTTTCATTATCTACTATTTGGATGGGAATTTCTTTCCTGTGAAAAAACAATTAAAAATTATATCAATATGAGACTAAAATCCTATTTACATACATTGCATGTCATATAATATATATATATATATATATATATATATATATATATATATATATACATATATATATATATATATATATATATATATATATATTATAAAGAGTAATTTGTATCTTAGGATAATTATTCCTTATTTAGAAATATCGCATTTATCGTAAAAGATGTGTCCCGATGATAACCTTCACGTTTTCCCATTTAAAGTTCTTCTATTTTATTCTATCATTCTTAACTGTATATATAATACCAAACCATGGCACCATAAACTCGGATAGTTTCTATCGATTGGCTGGTAATACTATAGTTATTCATTTAGTAACGTATTATTCATTTAGTAACGTAGTAATTTAAGTAAGTATTGTTAAATAGTTGCTAGCTATTAATTGTAGCTATTTGTCAGATTTCGATAGCGCTTTCGTTTTTCCCCTTAAATATTAATTTGTGACACTACCTTTCCACTTTTATTCTTTTCTGTTTTCATTTTCGATAAAGTTTCTAATAATACATATTAAGTCAATCTTTACGAAACGCTCTGTATTTGCATCAAATAGTAAGTTTATTTTTACTCATATAAAAAATAAATGCAATTAAATAAAGAATTAATAAACTTATTAATTAATAAAATAAACTTCCTAATAAATAAAGTTACTCATAAATAAATGTTCTACTTTTATCGCTCAAAATCTTTCTAGAATTTAAAATCAAGGCACGGGTGTATTAGTGTTCCGGTAGTTTTTATTATTTCATTCTCATTTTATAGTACAATTTTTTGTAAATATTTTTTAAAAAAAAGATAATTTTTATAAAACCCATACATATTAACGCATTAATTCTATTTAAAAATAATTCAACGTAAAAGAGTACTTTTTAATTTCAAATATATTTTCTCGATATTTATTTAAAAATCAACTCTGTTTAAACTTGCATAGCTAATAAATAAAAATATCGTTTCTTCGCAATCAATTAACTAGTGCTAATTAACTAATACCAAATAATCCAACAATGTTTTTAAAAAAACTGTCTCTAATATAGCAAAACTCGTAAAAATATTAGAACATACTCTCCCTTATCATTTTCCTCAAAGGATTTCTAAAGCACGTTGTGTACTTCTCAAAGTTTAACCATTAAGGATTTCACGTTGCAAGAAAAATTATAGGGTTAAACATGAGATAATACTCCTTCATAATCCTCTCTTTTAACTACACTTCTGGCCTAATCTTCAGTAGCATTTAATGATCCATAAAGAGTCGTTAAATATTTCTCTTACCTTTAGGGAATAGTCAACACTTGCATATAAAAATTGCCCTCAGTACTTCGTTATCAGACTGACTTTTACCTGCACGTATTTTCAAGAGTTCGCTCTTGAAAATATTAACAAGATAAAATGGCGTGGATACTGTATGTCTGCCGGAAATTAACTTTGCACAATAACTTTTGATGTGGTTCTTTTTTTCCTTTTAAATTTTACTTCCGTTATAGAGGTTTAAGGAATTTTTAGAATCATAAAGACTGATGCATATGGTGTAATGGTATTTGGTTAGTATTAAAAAAACTGTTGTAAAATAGAATTTTAAAACAAATGGAGGAAATGCTATTTTTTCGAAGGTTTGGGGGGGAATGTGTCTGATTATTGCGTTTCGTTATTGTTTGGTTTCACTTTATTATACATTTACTGATTTAAAATCATTTACTGATTTTAAATCACATTGTTCACAATTTGAATACCAGTTCTTCTCACGGAGTGAAAAAAAAGGGAAAAAATCAATAAATCAGTTCTGAACATCACTGCGAAATCAAACACAAAATTGAAAAACATGTACCCTTATAGTTAATAAATCAAAAATAATTCCAATCATTTTATTTTTCATCTTTTTACTTTCGCTAGTGGCTTTACGTTATTAGACTAAGTAAAATACACTTTTTTAGTTGTCCATCCCATCAAAATGAAAATTAACTGCATTCATTATATTTACTGTATTTTACTTATATTTACTGTACTTTCTTATATTTACTGTACTTTCTTATATTTACTGTACTTATATTTACTGAAATTAACTGTATATGGCATGATGCAGTTACACGAGGCAAACTCATGATAATCAATATTTATTGCAATCAAGTGATTTTTTTTCTGGTACTTATCACTTTCGAGGACCTGTAAAAAACCTCTTTCCACAGCATCTATACTACATCTTCACAGTTTACATACAGTTAAAATAGATACCAAATATAGTAATAGTACCTATATTATTATATTTGGTATCTATGAAAATTGTACGAATTATCGTAATACCAAAAGTATCTATTACCGAAATAATTTAAGCATTTTTGGCTTCAATAATAGCATGGCAAATTTTTGCTTTTTTTCTAAACGAAATAGTACAATTACTCTCTTAATATTGCTTTTTAGCTTACCATTGCTTTTAATCCTTATTATTTTTGTTTTAATTAGTACCTATTGCTAAAATGAATTGAGCATCCTTTTATTTTGTTTTATAACCCGTCACTGAACAGCCAACCCAATGTTCGGGTTTACGACAGCCAAATTTCAAATTGGTAGCTTTGTAATTGTGAACCCAATCCAGAAGACAAGGGAACTCCTGGATCAAGTATTGGGAGAAATTTGATTTGAGGATTTTTTGATGGAACTCATCCGCATTTGTTTTACATGGAGAAGAAAACCAAGAAAACCGTCTTAGGGTAGCCAGTCGGCAAGGGGACTCTAACCCAGGATTCATCTACCACTGCGGATATTTTACGTCAGCACTGTAGTCGGTGCGAGCTGGGTGCGGAATTCAAATCGACTAGCCTTAGCTGGGTTTCGAACCGGGTTCACCTCATTGAAAGGCGAGCGCTCTATCCTCTGAAATTCAGCATGACTGGCGATTTTTTACGCCTCTTAAGCGAATTAGTACCATTTTTCCTTAATTTTGCTTTTTCATACGTGACCTTTTTTCTACTTCGTTTAGTAATTATTACCACAATGTATTAAGCATCATTGGCGTCAATTATCCCGCAATGATGAAAAAATACGTCGCTTTTTTATGTGCATTGGTGTAAAAACTCTATACATTTCTCCGTAGCTATCACGTTCAAACTGGTAATTGAGTTTCACTGACATAAGGAATAAAAAATAATCAACTATTAAATAATTTACAATCAATTCCTTTTTTTTTATTAATCAGAAATATTAGCTAGTTATCATAACTGATGTTATTGTTTAAATATTTGGAAAGAAGAAAACAGATTCTAATTTTAATTTTAAAACGAGTCTCTAATGCTAGAAACCTTTACCTTACAGTATTCTAAAAGGATACGCACTGGAAACTAATAGCAATGCAAAACAAGATGATCTAAGTCTTATTTGAGATCAATCTAGTCAGTTGTTCCGACTTACGTTCCTTTAAACCCCTTTATGTTTATCAAAGTAAAGAAATCATTATTTAATGTTATAAATAAATATTTTTATTTATAAAATTTAAATAACATTTATATTAAATTTATAATTCACAAAACTTACATAATATTTTGTTATAAAATTTATATTTAATTATAATTATAAAATATAAATTTTATAAATTGTAATATAAAAAAAATAAACTATAATGTAAAAAAATATAAATTAAAAAAAATTATAATTATAAAATTTGAAAAATTATGAAATAATAATAATAATAATTTATATAATATTTTTATATTTATATAGAATATGATTTATATAAAATTGATTTATATAAATATGATTTTTATAAAATTTATATTTTATATGATTTATATAAAATTTATATTTTTATTTAAATAAATAAATATTTTTATTATAAGGAAAAAACACTTTTTTCCTTCAGTATTTTACCAATTTCATCAGGCGACGTTGGGATGTAATTGGGTACCGGCATGCTTCGATAAAATATTTAACAGCCCAAAAAATAGTTTTATGTATATTAAATGTTAATTATTCTTGGAATATCAATCAAACTAAAAATTAAGCAACCAGCTGCTTAGAAAAGAAATCGAAAACTTGAGAGTTTTGTCAGATTGGCATATCAGAATTTCGTTAAGAAATAAAAATATTCTAAATCTGTATGGTTCTCAGTTTGTTTTCTGCCTGTTTGAATTTTGAGAGAAGAAACTAAGCAAAAATTGAGCGATCGCTCCAAACCTCTACCCTACACTAAACATGAATGTGATGACCTCAATACATTTATTAAGTCTTCGTCCTTTACGTGATTATTCAGAAAAAGAGTAAAAATGCTTTGTAAAACGATGAATTGCGTGTTAAGTTAGAATTTCGAACAAATTCTTGCACTGCATTATGAGAGAAACGTAAAGGGTGGGGTTTGCGTTATTCAGTTTTATTGTTGCTTTTAATTTGCCTTAATGAACGGAATTAATGAGTGTTATGTGGGGTTACTGAATTAATGTGACTTATGCTAAGCCTTCTTATTGAATTTTTTTTTTAGATTTGATACATTGCACTAATAAAAAGTTTTATTGATCATAAACTTTTCTTTATAATAGGAGACATTATGGGTGAAATGTAATTATTTCTAAGAATATTTTTATGATTATTAATTTATAAGACTTATGTAAGTTGAAGAAATGTATAAACAAATATGTTTATCGAAGGTAATTGTTTAATTTTAAACATATTCAGTTGAATACGATTAATATAATCACTTGTATTCAATTAATTTTACACAAATTTTTTTTTAATTTAAAATAATGTAATTTTTAGGTACGGAAACACCTTAACAAGTTATTTTTCAATTGGACAGTAATAATTTGGAAAGTTTTACATCAGATGTAGCGAAATTTGAGAACATAATTCTAATTTGTGATGTCTACGTTTATTTTGAAAATGGCGCGAAACGACATTATGGAGAAAAGCCACAGTTTTGCAAAAATGAAAAGTGTTTGTAGTCTCATTTTTTAATGTTTAAAAA